GTATAATCTGTTCCAGCTACGTGCATTTGTTCAACGAGAACAATTCCGCGTCATTCTGTCTATCGGCTTCTTCAATTGACGAGAAGATGCGGGTGATTTCATTCTCACTGAAGTGCGAGTACCTGGGCCTGGACGACGGATATGAACGTCGCAGTGTGCAATTGAATTATCATATATCAAAGACCAAAGATTCGATTGATGCAGACTAAGGATTGGGTACGCACGCACCGCTAAAATATATCAACAATGTATATGATGAAAGTCAGCAGTAAGCCCTCCGCAATTGAGTAGGGATCCAGAACTATTTGATGTAAGGGCGCATATCCGCCGGGCTCGGTCGCCATTGTGTCCACCACGTAATGTTATGTTATTTTGCTCCAAGTCCTGTTCTTGCTTGTGCAAGGTCGGTATCATGCGATGACTGTTTCTTTGTCTCCTCCTGTTCGCATTTTTTCGTTCTTGCAGCCGACCGAGGGGGAGTCCTTGTAGGGTCAGAGGGACTATTAAAAAATATGTCAACTAACCAAGTCACAACCAACCGACACCGTGGCTAAGGGAATTCAGGGGCAAATGCTCAAGCCTGAATAATAATTGGTACAGTCTCTGAGTCAGGCGCATAAACACCCAGCGTTTCTGACCCCCCAGCTCCCTAAGTAAACAAGGGTAGCAAATCCGTGTCTGTTTTTACATGATGACCAGAGGAGATAAGTTTTTCCTGAATTCTCGTCATGCAGATTGACCAACAAACCAAATCATACCTGAAAATCGTCGCTCAAAGTACCGGATAGCAATGGGAGAAGCAGCATCGCACAAGCACCTCGACAACAGGACCCAGGTGCCGGTGGTTCTCACTTCTATTCTTCCAGCTCCTTGCATAAGTAAATGAGTGAAGTGACATTGAGCACAGCTTGTAAACTAACGTTACTGTGTGCCCTGAGACCATGGACAAGAGTTGGCACTAGCTTAGCTTGTTACGAATGAATGGAGCGGATAGGTTCTGCCTAAACTCTCATTGTGCAACATTATTCGCCATGGGTAACCATTCTGATGACCCGTATGCTGCCACAACACTAGTAAGCATTATCTTTCGCAATAGTATAAAAGTGACTCACCTCCCTCCACTTCAAAGAGATTATTCAAGCTCCTCAGCAGACACACAAACAATGCATTTCGCCTTCCTCGCCGTTATTGTTGCGTTGACAGCATCTATGTCTGTCAGTGCATGTGGCCCACACGGCGCCACTTGCCAGGTCAACACTGACTGCTGCCTCAAACAAGATTTGACCTGCTCTCCAACTGCGGTAGGGGTAGTTTGCTTTGCATACAGTTTCCACTTCTTGGCTCACCTTTTGTGCTTTGTAAAATTAGGGATCAGGCCAAATCTGCGTTTATAATCCCCACAAGTGAGCAGACCGATTTACACGTTGGTAACACCAACACATTTGTGAGTCAAGTCATATTTCCGCTTTCATATTACCAGTACTCAGGCTGTTGTTGATCGAACAATCTGTAGGGCACTGCTGATCGAAAATGGGTAGAGGCGATATTGAGTTAAAGTAGTACGTGACATGAGTGAATGAAGTATTTGCGTACTTTAAGTCTTGGTGGAAACAGTCTCATGGATCGGCTATAAGTATCAGCCAAAGCCGCATGGTTTAATCAGGTCACTTTTCATCGTTTATTACTCGTTCACTTGACAAGGCATGCAGCCGTTCATACTACACTTTCTCATGTCAGTCTCGTTTAACCGTCGAGTTGGAACTCGACAAGAGAATGCATACATACCTGTAGTTTTGTGCATTGACCACACATATGAGAGTGAGGACCGGCTGCGAGCACTGCCCTAAATAACTATGAGTGATGAATATCAATAAAAACCTACATGGTATAGGATGGAACTTCCCATTGGTCCGGGACTCCAACTCATCAATGAGGTAAATGTGATCCTCAGCAGATATGCGGTATTTCTCCCTAATGGAACTTTTGAAATACCGTGTATACACGTGGCTCCGACTTGAACCTCAACAAATTCACGAGGGAGGCTCAAGCGCATCGTGGTTTAGATCTAAGCGCGTGCCACTACTGTGGTGCCGTTGCTCGGATCCGATGTACTATCATTCCGGGTAATCTGCAACGTGCATGTAATATGCAAAATGTTCAAAACACCTCAACGCACTGCTCAACTCACTTCAAAAAAATTCATGCATATGTAGACTACTTATATATGATGTACTGTCCAAGTAGAATGAAAATTTCTTGCGTGTTGCAGCTGCGAGGGATGAAATAGTGGTAATTTGTAACCATGCAGGAACATAAATTATCCAGATCCCATAGATCCTGCAGGTATATTCCTGAAGCTATACCTGGAGCACAACAATCACCTCGTCAGGATTACAGAACACAATTTCGATAAAGCTCATCCTGTCATTTTAAGATGCTATAGAGGAGGAATTGACGACATGTATGAAAATGTGACAGTAGATAGGAGAGTGTGTAACAAATTCAATCTCCTCTACGGCACACTCGGCAAGTGCACGAAGTCTTGCATTGTTGTCTCCTCTTGCATCATTCTCACATCCTTGTTACAATGGCACCAAACCGCAGGCATACTACCAGTCAGAAGAAAGCTGAAGAAGATGTGATTCGCGAAGCCAACTTCACTGCTGCTATTCAGGCTATCAGAGAGGAGAAGACCAAGAACCTTATTCAGGACCATATCACCAGTACACTCACAATAATTACATGAATCACGATACTTGATGATAATATATTGCTGTATTCATTATTTATCAGAGCATTAAGTTTCAAGCTTCCAGTTCGACGACTCAACGCCAACAGATCGAGAGCGCAGTGCGGAGAGTCAAAGTTGACTGTGCCGGTGCTATGCCGAGGTGTGACTCGACGTGACCATATTTTGCAGATTAGTCAGACCCTGAATTTTCTCGGCTTTCATCCGACACCACACCACAAAATCCTAAAAATGAGCAAAAATAAGATCTATATAGAGGCGGTACGAATCTACAACACTCTAAATTCGTGGAAGATAATATGAAGTGATTGACGAGCTACAAAAGATTTGCTGAAAATGTTGCAGATTACCCGGAATGATAGTATCAAGGTTGTTTCGGAATTTTGAATTTTAGTCGTGAGATATTTTTCACCTATTTGTAATGTGACCTTCCATTTTTGGTAATACTGCCCCCAATGCCTCACCCGAAATTACTGTCGAGCTCACTGTTGAGGACAGCGAGCTCAAATATACACTCAATCCTTCACTTTCACTTTTGTCAATAATTATTTTTTCATACATCGTCATCTTCTCATTCGTTTTTGGTACCCATCAGCATTTCTCATTCATCATCTTACACCACCCTGTCATTCCTATCATTCCATCCACCCCAAAACTGACCTACCTACAGCCGCTGCCCAGGAATACACCTCGTCGAATCTTCGGTATGGCTCTTGATCACCAGCATGCTCGCGACCCTTAATATACGAAAAGCGAGGGATGAGAGGGGCGTGGGGATCGAGCCTGTTGTCACTGGTCAGGTTTGAGAATTCTGTTTTTAGGTGGGTTTTTCAATTTTGTTTTTGAGTGCATTTTTTGTTTCGTTCGTTTTTACTTGGAGCTTACCTGTATTTTAGGTTGTTGGCTCACTACGATCCGAGGATGCGCTTTTTTGCGCTTTCGTATATGTTTTCTGCATCACGCGTTCTCACCACACTCTGTTTTTGATATCTTTCCGTCCCTCTTTCTCCTCTTTTTCTCCCTCCCTCCCTCCTTCCACCTACCCCACCCCATCCTACCTCCATCCCAGCACCCACGAACGAGCGTTAACCATCTCTCCTACAGAACCCCAAGCCCGTTCGTCTGCGACATCCGCTCCTAGGAGCGAGGAAGCGCTGAGGTTGATTATGGAGGGGAAGTAGCTTGGTGTGTGGTGGGTGCGCTGATTCCCAATGCGCGGGTTTGGATGCTGATTATGACCGTGCTAGAATTCTGTACCGATTGACGTGGATTGCGCGTGTTCTTGCTAGGGCCTGGAGCCTCGTGAGTGAAAAAGTATACAAGTATCATGTCATGTCATTATTCGTGTTCATGTTCGTGTATTGTAAATTACTCGAGTCGTTTTGGGCGAGGACTAAATATTGACAATAGAGAAATACTACAAGATTCGTGGTGTTTCCCCTGTGTCATTATTTAGTTAACCTTTCTGTATCATGCTGGAGTGGGGGACCCCTAATAGTCTTCAGGCTTTGTCGTAGTGTCCGAGTGTCTTCACCATTTCAAGTTCTCGCCTTGCTTGCGACACGCAGGCTCGTGGTCGGGGATACGCCACACTCAAGGGTGAAATTACTTGAAACACTCAAATCCAGATGAAGTACTTGTCATGCGGCGAGGGTGAACCACCTTTACAGTGGTACGTCATAAACTTCTGTGCGACATCTAACTTATGAGTGATGGTGGACTTAATATTAATATGGTATTCGTACATCTGCATCAAGCCCCGTCCGTGTCACACGTCCGCCCGAACCCATCCATACCTCCGTAGTGCCGTGTCAAGCCTACCCATACCGCGTCAGTGCTATGTAATGTTGTGGACAGAAGTCTGCCATTCTTCCAGCAGAATCCGGCAAAATGTCAAACTACAGGGGATCGCAGCGAAAGGTATTCTAATAACCCTCTTCACCTTATATGGCCATAGTAACCTTTCTCGATCGACTCAGAGCAACTACACTTCCTTACCTGTTTTTTCAGTAATACGGCCTGTTTGTTGATGACCTCAAAGCATATAACCTGTGCCGCGCACCATTTTCAAGCGGACGAGCTGACGGATTGGCATGGTGGGGAAAGCCTCACAGTCAGTGCTGACAGACATCCTTTGAAGGCACTAGCAATCACCCTCTAATTATCTATTGTTCCCCATGCTGCCGACGTCGAATGCCTCTCTTCTAATATGGGTAGCACTCAGTCTCCAAAGCGCTGCAATCTCATGGTATCCGGTTTTCTCCAAAGTCTGACATTTGCAAACGTCCGAATTCCCCAAGTCTAGTTTGTGTACAGATAGACTACTAGGTACGGATTGTATCTAGGCAGACGGCTTATCCACGTCCAGATGGGGTCTGGTCGTTTCCACAGTGATTAATGTATCTACACGTGGATATGCCTGAACCCTACTTTCAAAAAAAGTTGTGACATGCAAAGCTCTGCTGGCAGTGCGCCGGAATCACTGGCTCGGCTTCCCATGGGAGATAGGTTCTGCCTAAGCCACGGTTAAAACACTAAGGTTATTTTCGCGAGTATAAGAGCAAGTCATCTTCCTATCATCCACTTCACCCCAAAGAGATTTTTCGAGCACCTCAGCATATCATACCACCTCGCACAAACAATGCGTTTCTCCTTCCTCGCAGTTATTGTTGCGCTGGCAACATCTATAACGTTCGTCAGTGCGTGTGCGGGAGAGGAAGCACCTTGCGTACATGACAGTGACTGCTGCAATACAGAGGATAAATGCGTTGGTATTGTAAGTAGAGGCAGTGTGCTTTACATCAAATTTTCACTTGATCACTTACCCTTTGAACCTCGTAATATCAGCCGACTGGTGCTTACATGTGCTATCATAATGGTGATCAACCCCAAAGAGAAGACCGTTAAAATTGCACGTCGCAACACACTGGTGGGCCGTGTTTTCGCTTCCCTATCGGCGCGGTTGTTGATGGAATAATATGAAGTTCGCTAATTGAAAAATAGACGGAGACAATGCCGCAAAGTGAATGAAATATTTGCGCACTTGCTGGTTTGGGCGCAAATAGAACCTAGGCTTGTAATCTGAAATGGCTTGACCACATGTCCAGTACACGATCTTCGATCCTGTCACAAACATGAAAGACTGGAACAAGACGATCAACAGTTACAAGACCATCGTGTTGTAATGCTGGCAGTGAGTTCGACGGGGAATGATGATCGATACAAGTCGGCAGAGTAAACACGTTTGAACGCACTGAGTTGTAGTTGCAACGTCAGACGGAGACTTTCTGAGGATATTGGACTTGATTTGGAGCGAGGAAAATACTGGGTGTGATCCTGTTATTGAATCCGAGGGTACATGGCCGGACTACATACATTTGCGAGTGGCTCAATGGCCAAACTGAGGATGCGTGATGAACACCTGATGATGGGGGTTTAATTAGATGTATCATTGTGCCTAAAATGTGATACATCTTTACTGAGTCATCCATGCAGTCTCGATGTGCTCCAACTATAGATGGTTCCCAGTCCGTGGCGTTCAGAATGGCTTATGTCGAAATGTTGGTGAATGGTAAGTTGGTAACTGGTGAGCGTTAGCCTGGGACGGCGTAGCCACGTACAGTGATCTCGCGTTTGCTGTAGAAATGGAAGTCAATATACCCAAGTTGGTTCGTGTCACCCACTTTGAAATATGGAAATGAGATATACATATTCGGGCTCCTCTGCACCACAGAAGAGAGCATGCTACACATTAACATATCCATGCACTGCCATGCACTACACAGCAGATGGTTGCCGATGCCTCAGGAGCTTGGCCAACCCTCGCACGCGCGCGTATCCATTGGACGTGTTCATAGACTCCTGAAAAGTATATGCACATATGATGGACGCGACCGTATTCATAGGCCATTTTTTTCGTTGAGTACACGTATGTATGTCTTTGTGGCGTATTTTCGACGTATCGCAGGGTGTGGTGAACTCGTTTACTTGTGTCGGTTTGAATTTTGCTGTCGTCGCTGTGCTGGTAGGTCGAAGGCTGAAGAGTACTCGCACCTGCATCGACAAATATCAAAATTAACAAACCAAACGCGCTATCACATCGACATGATATTTGTGGACTGCATGTTGCCTTGGCAGGCTGTGGGAAAAGACTTGGTTCCCCAAAGCGGGCTCAATTGCCCACCGCCAGTTACTTATAACACAGTCGTGCGGTGCATACTCAAACAAAAGGTTCCCAGACCGGACTTACTACGTCGCACACGGTAAGTAAGCCTCTTCCTCCCTTCTCACTATCTAACCTTGATTCCATCCAAGATGTCAACAGAACCACCCACCATGCCCACCGATTTCTCAGTGGAAACCCTCATCCGCTCCTTTATGACCATCATCCTCTCCGAAATTGGGGACAAAACCTTCTTCATCTCTGCCATTCTCGCCATGCGCCATCCTCGCCTCGTCGTATTCCTGGGCGCTATTGCCTCCCTTGCACTCATGTCTATGCTGTCAGCGTCGCTGGGACATATACTGCCCGCGCTTTTACCCAAAAAATGGACTCAGATCATGGCTGGGGTGCTGTTTCTGGTGTTTGGGAGCAAGATGGTCATGGAGGCAAGGGAGATGGAGGGAAAGGGGAGGAAAAAGGTTGAGGAAGAGATGAGGGAGGCGGAAGAGGAGATAGATGGGGACGGACTTGACGCGGGGGATAGCATTCCGCTTGAACGGCTCGAGGAGGGGGAAGTGGTCCCTTCATCTCCCAGCGCGCGAAAACAGAAGAAATTGGGTTGGAGTATCGCGGAAGGCGTGAGGAATTTTTGCAGTCTTATCCTTGGGCCTGTTTTCGTGCAGTCCTTTGTGCTTACTTTCCTCGGGGAGTGGGGGGATAGGAGTCAGATTGCTACGATTGCTTTAGGTGCTGCTCATGTGAGCTCTCTTTTTTCTTTCTTAGTTCGAGACCTGTGTTGACAAGGCGCGTTTTTAGAATGTGTATCTCGTGACACTAGGGACGGTCCTTGGTCATACATGTTGTACAGCGCTGGCCGTCGTAGGTGGGCGGTATGTATCAAGTAAGATATCAGTCAAGCATGGTGAGTCATTTATTTGCACCTAATTATTGTCCTTTGCCTCGGAATATCATCACATCCTCATCCGTTTATTCGACTATCATTACTCCCAAATGCGCATGTCATTCCTGCTGTGCTTGGTGCATTTAACCTGCCACCTTGTTTCATTTGTTCTGATTTTCTTGTTTGTCATCCATTTAGAAGCATCGCAACTGACCCAGCCTTGCAGTGACCCTAGGAGGCGCAGTTCTCTTCCTCGTATTCGGTGTCATCTATCTCTACGATGCGCTTGCTACTTCTGCAGAAGAATTTTTGATACCTACCAACCCTGCAGGGGAGCCGTGAGCCAATGCATATCCATGTTTGGGCTCAGTTATGATAGCACGTCAGCGCCATGCCTGCATTGACACAACGCTTCACGTCTTAGGCTTTTGGGTTGGAAGCCTCACTCAGTGTGTACTTCATACCATATATATAGACATGCTTATAATAAAACGATTATACGATATCGTTTCAGACATTTTGTTTTGTTTTGGTTGTCTTGCATGCACATTCAAATTCTATCGCACAACTAAGTAAGGCTAACCAGATACTTATGCTATCGTACTTGGACCTGAGCGCGAGCAGAGAGTCAGACTCTGTTACGGGCCTAAATTCAACACGGAATGGAACGGCAACTTTCGGTCCGTGCCAATGGCTCTGTCATCACCATCACCTACTCACCCGCATTCCAACGCAGTGCGCACTTGTTCATTTCGACGGACAACGAGAGACTCTACTCTGGAGATCGTGCAGGACGAGTTGTCGTTACATCCATGCGCTCATTGCGACTGCTCGCATCACGGAAAGCTCACGCTGACTCACTGCTAGGCGTTGAAGAGTGGGCTTCTCAGATAATAACGTGGTGACTAACCTGATTCTCCTAGAATATTTGTGATACTTGATGATTAGACATGAGAGGGACAATAAAGTCCGCATCTGGGCATGATCTGAAGAATCCGCTTCCATCAGACAAGGACCTGCAACTTTATCAAATATATCAACACCTACGATATGTTGCTCTTTGGATGTAAATGCCCTCAACTACTGCAGGTTCTTTCTCCTAGGAGCGAGCAAGCAGGAAGGTCTCCTTGCTGTTCCGAACCTCGTAGAATCGGCCCTGGTGGGCATACCTTCTAGTGTCTGATACGGAGTGATCTCAGTATGTACTATGAACTTGTCAAGCAGATATCTGGTCGCTTCCATCGCATCAAAGGCTGCACGCGGCCATAGGTGATCCACGGGACACCTCCACGGCACCTTTCTCGGATGGTAGGTCAGCAAATCAGGAATCATTACGTCAATGCACCTCTTTTACGCTCCTATTACATCTACTCCATTGTCATCTACGCCTACAAATGAGCTGCGCCTCTTGTGCGCGTACGAAGACGGAAGCGTACTGCACCTGAGAATAAACAAACTGTGGAGGGCTGTGGATGGGCAGTGGACATCTAAAATTCATGTGGGTTGAGATATGTGGCTGTTTGTCTCGTGGGGGAGATCTAACAGAAGTTATCATTCCAAGTGATGGCAATGGCTGTTTCTGTAGATTGCATGTTTGCGTTGACCTTCACCTGGTGGGACGGTATGATCTCCTGGTCAGTTTTTGAGTATCTCTGCGTGAATTTACTTGCTGATGCTCGGAAAATAAGACTCGGCAAAGGGCATCGGAAGGAACTGCATTCAAGACCAAATATCTAGGCAACAGCGCTATTGTCATACGCGGCGACGGAAGAATTTGTGCGATAGGGGGATGGGGCGGATCAGATTCATTTCCTTGTCCCCACAAACTTCCCCAGACCACCCAACATCAAGTCGATACTGACAAGCATTGCACTGGATATGGCAAGAATCGTATTGTCTTCCGCGTCTGGCCTCGTGATCCCAAAGGAAACACCATCATAGCATCTTCACTGCGGGGAAAGGAGGCTGACAATGGAATTGATCTGTGGGGCGCAACACTCTACGACTTCTACTTTGTTCTACGTGCCCCAGATGTAAAGAACTATCTCACCATCTCCACGGGCAGCAGACTTGCAAAATGGATGCGCAAGCATGGTGAGCTCATAGCAGAGGATGAACTCTATTGGGCCGATAAGGAGGAGGATCCTAAGGAGGTGCCAGTAGTCGATATCGGGGAACTGATAAGGTGTTATGATACACGCGTCGCATTGGGCATATTCAACCAGTTTTCCAGTCGAAAGAAGATCAGAGAGAAGGAAAAAACAAGCCGGTCTGCTTTCAGCTATAGCGACCTGGAAAAAGCCACAGATGAAGATTCAACCCCTCCAGTCGGTGATCAAGGGGACAATATCGGGAGGGAGCAAGAAGAGGAGGCAGTATCAGTCGTTGATGACTATTCAGAAGATGCAATTGCCCGTGCGCAGCTCAAGGCATCAATGCTTGAAACTGAAAGTGAAACATCATCAGAAGACAGTGCAGACCAGCCGACAGGCAATCCTGCTGCGCCGTTGCCAAATATTGACTCGCCCTTCCATCCCGACCACTATCTTTCTCCATATCCTTTCATCCCTTGCACGCACGACGAGATTCCGATACTTCAACAACGTATTCCTTTGCACCTTCTTCCTCAAAAGCTCTATGTTCATGACCCTTGGAACAAATTAACCGTCAATAAGAATGATTCTGACCATAATACTCAATGGCTTTCCAAGGTTACCAATGAAGGAGACATCGTCCGGACCTATTCCCTCTCCCTTGGGCCGGAAGGTAAGAAGGTCGCGTCTAAGGCGCGGAAACAGGCCGAGATAGCAGAAGACGAAGCAGCCAAGGAAGAGAGCGTGATGCACATCCTCCCCACTGACAAGGAAGGACCGACGGAAGAGCCGCGGATTGAAGTTGTACTCCCTCCACGACCCCGGAAGAGGGCGCAAGTGGAAGAAGCTCATCTCTACCTTTCACCTCGTGCAGTGGGCGTCGGGCATAATTCAATCGTGCACAGCGTGAAGTGGGAGCTTCCGCGTGACCTTTTTGTGGAGCCTCGCCTATGCAAAGCTTGTGTGGAGGAGGACATCCGCCAATAGGTCCAGAAATTAAAGGACGAGGGAGAATGGGAAGAAGTCCTAAAAGACCCGACGGAGAAACCCGAAGAAACAATGCAGGGTGGCCTGGGAAGAAAGCTCTCGGAGGCCTCTGGCCCGAAGCGAACAACTGGTCATGTTACTATCGAAGAGCACCAGTTTCTAGAAGTGACTGGGTCATATATTTTACGTTCACCTTGGGATTCTAAGACGGTGGTGAAAAGTCCACCAATATTAATGACGCACCGGGTTCGAACGGGGATTCTCCTGCAGACACTGCTAGCAATGCAACGACAACAAGAGGTGCTGAAACCGACGTCAAAATCGGTGCCATGGACGGGCGGGGTCTGGAACCTGGAGTCAAAGTTGAGCAGGAAGAGGTTCCTGATACTGATATGGAGGTAGACGACAATCGACCGTGTGCGCTGGGGTCTGCCCCAAAGGAGGGCAAGGGAAAAGGGAGAATGGAACTAGAGCAGGACAATGCCAGTGGCGAAGAGAAAGATCTGGAGGAAAACGAGCACGAACAAAGCGAAGAAGAAACATTCACCCTTGAACCTCCCAGGGTCATCCGCATCGCATCTTACTCTGGGCCAGTACTTCGCATCCACACTACTGTGAAGTGGCAAAGCCCCTCGGAAGAACAATGCGATCACAGGAGTTCAAGTTTTGGCTCGGGACCCGTTCCACGCACTGCGATAGTCGGTGTTGTTGCAAAACTCTCGCTCGAATCCGACCACCACCTCGCTCGAGAGGCGATAAACTATCAATCATTCCCTGACCACTTCTTCCAACACTGGAACGGGTATAACGTCATACCCCCAATACACGATCCTCTCCCCATCTCTGCCCACAATTCTACGGGTATTACACGCCTGACGATCCAAGTGACTACATTGAATATTCGAATCGACCTCGTTATCTGAGTCCAATATTACTCCTGGAGCACTGTGGCCGCGAGATAGATCCAGATGAGTTGTGCCAGGACGACAGGCAAGAGTGCGCGTCACTCATAGTGCGCTTTAATCGTGCAGGGTGGTTACATCTGTCATTTGCAGCGCGGAACATCCTGTGGCAGCAGGGCAAGCCAACAGAGTGGCCAATTGATCGGCCGCACTCTGGCAAGAGCTTCCGCCTGATAGACTTTGGTAGATCGGGGAAATCTAATAAAACAGAGGCTGGGATGGGGGAGGAGGAAGTAGCTTATCGGTTGTTGACTTTCACTATCTTTTGCCTTTTAGACTTCGTATTACCTTCTTGGCACTATCTGGTACTATCAGCTTCAACACCATATGCAACACATCTTCCTGCTTCTTGACCACACGAACTCCTCCGCTCGTCCATTCACCGGTACAATTACCTAAGCTCTTGGTCTCTCGTATTTAGTTCGCGTCGTCCCAACACATACCTCAGTTTGTTCTTGAACTTACTGAGGTATGTTATATCTCTTACTCGCTGTTCTATCTCATACTGATGTAACCTAGTGTGTGCTCCTGCTAGGTAGATATCTTCAATGATAGTTTGTTCTTGAACTTACTGAGCATGTGCTCCTGCTAGTTATTCTAGTGATCAGGTTATGAGCCCTGGGCTCTAGACGAGCTCTTATCAATACGCATGCGGACAAACTCACTTCGACTCAGTTATCCACTATGGGTAAATACGATCATATTGCAGAACTTTCTGGGGCAGACTAGCTGGTGCAGGGCTGTAGAATTGGCTCTAGCCGGAGAGGGCCTCTGGAGCCATTGTAGTGATGGCACTGACCCTAACGACGTCGCTGAATATGCTGTCACTATGCCCACAGCAGCCACAGCAGGGCATCCAACTCCTGCCAAACTCACTGCCATCAAAGAATGGGTGAAAGAAGATGCCCAAGCCAAGGCTCTCATTGGCAGGCATCTCTCCCCCATCATTCAGAATATGCTCAGCAAAAAGCTAATGGCCTGCCAACAATGGGAGACCTTACTCAAACATTTTGGTTGACTCGACGTCACTTCACAGTTTGAACTTTGTGATCAGCTCTTCTCAGAATGGCTTAAAGACACAGAAGATGCGTCAAGATACATCAGTGTCTTTGGGAACGGCTGTTGAAGATTTGCTGAAATGGGCATCACATTCTCTGACTCGGAAGCAGTCTGGATGCTCCTGCATGGGCTTCCTGAGACCCCACAATGGGTCGTCTTCCAGAGCCTCACCCTTGGACTCTACAAACCACCAGTAACCACTTCCTCATTGACCACTACTTCCTCCACGACTACAACTGCTCCTTCTGTCTCCTTTGAAGATGTCGCAGCTGCATTCACTGAAGAGGCCAACAGGCAGTGTGGCCATCAGAAACTGGCTTGACCAGGCTCTGAATATGCCAATGCTGTCAGCTCTTCTACCTCCTCCAAGTGAAGAGTTAACCCTTCGAATGGTGTCTGTATGCACAAGCAGAATCCTAGAGGAATACCTTGCAATAACCCTGTGTGCACAGGTCTTCCCACTCACTCATGCATGATCAGGAACACTGCATGCAAGCTGGTGGGGGAATGGAAGGAAAAGCACCATGGAGTCAGCAATGCGGAGGTAAAAAGACAAACATAGCAGCAGCCGCTACAGAAAACAAGCCCACCACTCCTAACACAATGTCCAGCTCAACCAGTGCCCCACCAGGCTATTCAGAGACATTGGCCCTCGCTATGAGTAATCACAGCTGAGACTGGTCCTGTGCTCTCATTGAGGACATTGAGCTCGATCCCAGTTGTGTACCAACGGATGAGGACCTTGCTTGCATCTCCAGTCAGGCTCTCTCTACCATTTTAGACTCTGGTGTGACCTCGACTCTCATCACCAGTCGAGAATTCTTCTGGATGTTCAATGTGAGCACCAACATCTCCATGAAAACTGCAAACCATGGAACACTGCAAACTTCAGGACGAGGTGATTGCATAGCAGATTTAACCATTGGGAACCGCACGCAACGCATCAGACTGACCGATTGCTTGCATGCCCCTGGGGCACTTATCAACCTCATGTCAGTAGGCTGCATGTTGAAAAAAGGGTGTGAACGCAATTTTAAGCCATCTCCTCCAAGATGCCAACTTGTCTTTTGTAACAACATACT